TAGGCCGAAAGAACTGCCGGCTACGATGTCTAGTAAAACGTCTTTCCAATGCAAATCAAATTCCTTCGATGCTCAAGACAATTCTTGATCGATTCTCCGTCGAATCATGTAATTTCAAAACAAGCAAGTTTTAGTGCAATAGGGTTTCAAAAGCAACGTCAGTGAGAAAAACGTGAAACCCGAAGAAGAAAAATTTCCTTCATTTTTAATTTCCATAAAAAAATTAGGCCTAGCGATTGACACCCAACTCACTGTTGAAATTTTGACGAATACCAACCAATGCCATGGAAATCAATTCATACAATGACTGGTTAGTAATTCCTTCACGACTGCGTTTCACAGCGTATTGCATAGTTGCCTTGCTGCTAATGTCTCGGGTACATCTAAGCAGGCCATGCTGTATGGTATTTGAGCACCAATGCTAAATGCGTTGTTACTGATGTGCAGCTATTTTAGCGTTGTACCACTTCTGATGAAAGTTTCACATATTCAGGTTCCTTAGTCACATGAGACAAAAAGAGTTATTTACAACTTTCCCTTTGACAGCGCGTACGTTCTTAAAGCTACAAGAGTTTCCGTCCTGTTTGGCACACATGAGACCAAATCGCTGTTCGACAATAGGTGCTGGCGAACCGGTCCTAAAACCTGTCTTTTTGAAAGTGCGAGTTCTACCAGATTTATTACGAAGAGGTAAGAGTCGGTACTTGCTGGTTAAGAAAGTAACGTTCTGAACTGGAAGCACGTCCACAGTGAAGGTGGGCGACCTCACGCGGTCGCGAGGACCATATGCGTTTGATTTTACTGAGCTGGTAAAAAGGAAGAATGGCTTGTAACCATTGCCATGTTATCTTCGTTGCATTTACACGACGAGAGCGTTCACTCTAACTTTCTATCATGGAGCCTTTGGAGAGCGCTCGCTGATTTCTTTCTATGCTATAAGCCAGGTATGTTATGTTCAGTAAGACGATATCCGCGGTTACATGCAAGCATAACTTTAAAGTCTCCTCCATCTGGGGGGCCCCACTCTAGCTCAGTAGTTGGAAGATGATTTTGACCATAATCAAAGCCACAAATTTTCGATTGTTAGTTTAATGCTACCCTGACTGAGTAATTGGACCTCCCCAAAACTGGACAGTGACCCCATTAGAAACATAACTACCAAATATTTTTCTTCTGGCCATGGTCAGACTTTAGACACCCCTCTATGACATTGCCAAATCGTTGTACATGTTGATTTGCATCCTCAAAGTCGTAGCTAGCCTTGCTTATTGGAAGTTGCATCAGGTTTGATTCTTTTTACTTTTTCTACTTTTTACTTATTACACACTCTTGAGTAGGTATTCTGGTATTGACGGAAAGCAGTATGATCAAGTTATTCATCGTGAATAAACATTGTGATAATAAACAATAATCGAGCCATTTGGCAGTCATTTAAAGAACAGTCATGCTATACAGCATTCAAACACGCCTTTGAACAAACACGCAACCTCATTTGCTATAGCTACATAGCGAAATTAACTGAAAGTTATAACCATCACAGCAGCTTTTTAATATTGAGGATTTTCCTCACGTGAAGTATTTGCATCATTCATGTGCATATTACAAAATGCACAAATTATGTGATTTTGTCTTCAGACAAAGGATGACCTGATTGGTAATACTGAGCAACGTCTTTGCAAGTATTTCATTACTTTGACAAAATATAGCGTGGATAAACTTTTTTTGCGTTCCAATCACTCCAACAGTGTCAGGATTCTGTTTACCACCGATGAGCTAGCTCTGTCTAGATTGTTCAGAGAGTTGCGACATGAGAAAAACACTTTATCATGTTTTCTTTGAGAAGTATAGCGTTTTGTCCTGACTGTAGTATGGGGATTTTCGTTTTGATATGTTGCGCTTCATTTATAAATATGCCTGTCAACTTCTGATAAGTCGTATCCTGCTAGTTAACAGTTGCGGCATTTATGACGGTCTTCGTGAATTAGGAAAACGGCATCCTTCAGTCCGTCATTCTCTTCACTCTGTGACATGAAAACAGAGTTGCAATTTGTGAGTAGTATCATCTACCGACTAGTCAGTGGTCTGTTGAAAGGTCTCCAGATCCAGATGACGGCTGATGCTGATGATGATCTAATTAGTCGTGAGCTAAGTTTAATTCATTGTGAATTTCTCTGATGCACTAAAATTCTGCCAATTAATATAGATGTTTTCGAACTACGTCGTTATGAAGAACAAGCCCTGTAACATCATTACTGTAAAGCAAATAGTCTCTGCTTATTAACGACTACATATTCGCAATAACGAGAAAACCTAAGAAGCAGATATGCAGTTATGATAGCATTACAGTTATCACAGGACACTCATGGCTGTCCTAGCGTTTCGAAGTAGTTTTGTTGAATAAAGGCGAGAGAACATTGCATCCAAAGTGGTGTTTGTAGCATAGCAAACAGGACATCGATCCCCTCAGTTGGTACGCCTTGGGGATTAGACAAGTTAGTGGAGATTCACTGAAATAGATCGAAAACTTCAGGTACTTGGAATCATGTTTATCAGCGGTGGAAAATCAGAAGAAGTGAATCTCGTGAATGCCGGAAGATCGAATGATGGATAATAACTGCAGGTGCAGCTATTGGCGAAACTCCTCAAATCGAAGTGATCAATACAGTAAAGATGAACCGATGCTCCAGTCGATTTTCGTTCTTATTTTCTACGGTCATCAATCATGGATAATGACTAAAGAATGCGATCATGAGAACAAACTGTTGAAATGTGCTTCCTGCGGTAAATTATAGTATCAACAAGTCCATGACTGTGTGATTCCGAACATCCTGAAATCGAGGTTGCAGTTTCGATGTCCTGGACATCCTATGCGAATGTCTTGAGAGGATAATCGTAGACCGTTTATTCCTCGACCGACAGGTTCGAAGCCAAAAGGAGCTTTCAGATTACACTAAAACGTAAACCGATTATGATTGGTTTAGCTCTTGCACTGACACAAGGTCATTCACGTGGCCGACATTGTCAGACGCTTCTACCCGCATGACTTGAAAGGGTGTCGACATCGAAAACTCACTATCGGCATTTGGAAATTAAACCAATAAATAACTGCTGTATTCCACCTCAACTTTGATATGTGGATTCAAAAGAGCTATAGTTTATAAATTCTTGAACATATTTTTGAAACTCGTCAAAGCATACTATAGAAGAAACTGAGAATACCTTCCTTCTTCAAGCAAATAGCAAAGTGGCATTTCCAATCTCATAGCTAACACCACTATTCCAAGTGTGTGATAAAGTGATGATAGCAATTCATATAGCTATTGAGTTTAATTCTCTGCACGGTATTGTGGTGTCTTAATCATTAGTCGAAAAATTTGAACATCAGTCACTGGTTATGTGATTAGCCTGTTCTAAAGTCCTTAACAATTTTAAAGACTAGGTTTACGATGGTATTGTTGTTGCAATCTTCGTTTATCCCAAGAGTAAACTGCAAAGAAGCATGGAGAAAAGAACTAGATTTTCTGGCGCGAATGAGTGATCCTCATTTCTTATACTAGATTTGCTGAAAATTCATCAATTCGTGATTCAGATCAATAAAACGCACTATGATAAAAAGCAAAGTGTTTGCGTAACGAATTTTATAACTCCTGGTTTCACCAAGACCAGATTTCAGGCCGTAGTGCACCGCCTCCGTGTTCCTAGTTGCCATGGGATGAGGATGTAAAGCAGGTCACAGCTACGTGTGTTTGAGCATCCTCAGTGCCAGATGCACCTCACATCATTTCGTCCCCTGGAGCCACCACGGAGGATGTTTCATCACGGAGGGAAGTCCTCAGATGCTACTGCACAAAGATACTGAATTTTATATTTCTTGATCCTTGGCAAAATTTGAATGACGCTTAAACGCAAAGTGGAACAGTATACTTTAAAATAACAGGTTCCCGCCAAAATACACAACGACTGAAATCACAAATCAAAAAATTCTACGGATTTTAGAAATCA